ATGCCACACACACGTTACTGTGCACCGGGTGCTGGCTGGGGCTTGGCTGCAGGAGTGCCACTGCACTAGGACACCGAGCTCTGCCGGTCAGAGGGGTCCCCGTGTCGTACCTCCGAGAGCTACACACAGTCAGCTTCCCCCCAGGCTGATGGGACAGGGGACGGGACGATTTCTGGGAATAAAGAGCACCTTCCGGCAGCGACTGATGGGGCCAGAGGTCAGGGGAGGGGTCCACAGCACGTAGACTCATTGCCCCTAAGGGTGACAGAGAACAAGGGTATTTATATGTTTCCAACTCTCCCTGTCAACAGGTCGGCCCGGGGCCGGAGGGGGCTGGGAGTAGGGCGACTAGAAGAAGAAACCACCCCTTTGAGTTAGGGTAGGGTCTTGGCTGTGTCACCGTGTCACCTTTGGGAAGCCGCTCCTCCTCTGGAGGCCAAGGGCGGAGGAGCGGATGAGGAACACCGCCTGGGTTCAGCACTATGCATCTGCTCTGTGAGGTCTCTGACGGTTTGGCTCTGGGCCTCTGGGTCGCAGGTGAACGGACTGGGGGGCAGGGTCTGAGAAAAGTGGTCCAGCCCTCAGCTCCCCTTAGAGGCGAGGAAGGGCGACTGCAGGACCATGCGCCGGTGGGGGCACCCAAGAGGGGATGTCCCACCGGCCAGGTCCTTCTCTCTCCTCCTGCCCCGGAGTGCCTGCTCGGGACGGCGTGTCCTTGGCCCTGTGCCTGCTTGTGATGGCAGGGAGGCCTCCAGGGCAGGCGCCGGACTTCACGCTCCAGCCGCCATTACCAGCTGAGGTCTTGAACAAGGCCCTTCACACCTCCCATCCTCAGTGTATGCATCTGAAAACTGGGGCAACGTCTCCTAGCTCTCCTAGCCCTCAGGCGTGGGAAATTCAAAGGCCCCTTTCGGAGAAAGCCCTCTGCAGGCCCCAGGGTTATCTGAGGAAGGTGCCTGCTTCCAGTCCTTGTGTTCCTGCCCTGCAGGCAGGCCCTGTCCGCGCAGTGTAGGGTCCCAGACCCAGCTCGCTTTAGCCCATGTTCTCATTCCTGCTTCCTGGTGACTCGACACCCCCATTCCCACTCTGCGATTCCCCCGGGGGCCTGAGTCTCTCCCCTCCCCCAGGGATGAGAAGCCAAGCATGAGACACTGGCGGCCCCAGGGGCACTGGCACCAGGGACCAGGTTAGGTCCCTTTTTTACCACTGTTTTTCGGATCGAAGTCTGGAACGTTGTCTCAAGAATTTTGAGGGGCATCTGGGTGGCTTAATCGGTGAAGCATCTGCCTTTTGAGTCTCCGCCTAATCTAGAGTTCCCGTGGGCTTGCCAGAGGTCGGAGAGCTCAGAGGCCACATCCCCCTGGAGACAAAGACCCTCACCACGGGCCAGGCCCTGCCCAGCAGCAAGGATACACAGATCAGCTTTGTGTTGTATTGGGGAAACCAGGGTGGTGATCAAAGTCAGTGTGGGCTTTTGGAGGAGCATAGAGATAGGGCACCTAACCTGACTTTGTGGATGAGCGCATTCCAGGGAAGTGGAAAAGAGAGCAGATGGCTTCCTGGAGAAGACATCCCAGTGCGTCTAAAGGGTGAGCCAGATGTAGGACAAAGGAGCGGAGTATCTGGTAGGACATAGCTTGAATAGGGCGTGGGGGTGAGGAGCCATAGATAATACTGTAGAAACGTGATTATATGCAAGACACGGAAATCAGAAAACGAGGCTGCGAAAATCAAGATGCGCCAGATCTTTTCACCAGAACCACACCACCAGTACTTTGCATAGTGTTGCTCTCCTCTTACAAATCAGGAATCAGAGGCTCAGAGAGGTTAAGTAACTTGCCCAAGTCACAGAGCTCCCCACCGGTGGATTAGAGACAGGAGGCCCAGTTCGCTGCGGTCAGCTGGGCAGGGTCTGAGACACCTGTTCTTGGGCTTCGTGGTCCCTCTTTCAAACTCTCCTCTTTGAGCAGAGGGCTTTCTGTGGCTTTCTGGTTGCAGATGGGCAGCCTGCCCCTCTGAGTATTTTCAGGTGTGCATCTGCTACAGACCGAGGGGAAGGGAACAACCGCAGGGGAAGGTGGGTTTCACCTTCCGGCTTCCAGCCCTGCTGCAACCCCACTTAGAACGCTAGAAGGGAAGGCCAGTAGCCAAAAGATCTACTCTCCAACAGGCCTTTCTTTCCCCTTCTGTGGGTGTGGCTCAAGGAAGCCCACCGGAACCAGCTTCCACCATAGCTGGGACAGGGCATGTGCCTGGTTCTGCCTAGCACTGCTGATGGGTGTTCCCACCAGAGACCCAGATGCATGGGGTCTGAGGCCTGCATTCCAGAAGCTCTGTCCCTTCATGTCAGGTTCAATCCACCTCAGGGCTCCTGTCAGCCCATGCTGGGGCTGGATCCATGACCTGGATTTGGCCCAAAGTGGACAAGCACATTCTACTTAGTAGTTGGTTTTTCAGAAACTTCTCAGCCTAGACCTTATTTCAGGATTCTCCCCCCCCCCCTTCAAATTGAGTTCTGAGCCCCCCTATCAGCTCCAGGCCCCGTCCGGAGCACAGGTGGGCCCTTCAGAGAGCTCCCTGTGGTTTCTCCTGAAAGCCAAGGGCCAGTTTCTATCTGTCAAAACGGGAGGGAGGACTCCCAGGGTCCGACCTCACTGCGCACCTGTGGCCCAGACCTGTGTCAGGGGTGTCGATGTCGTCTGCTGGGATCGTCAAATCATCCTGACCAATACAGACTTTGCTATCCGTATACGACAGGCGAGCACCGCGAAAAGCCACAGATTTGGAACAGTGACAGTCAGAGTAGGCGGAGGTCTGGATGCGGACCCGGGTCTGACGTGCCTGCCTCCACAGCCGGTGCCGCACACCTGGGGAGCAGGCGGGAGAGAGAATGGACCTTTACCGTAGCGGGTCTTCGGACGCCCAAGCCTGATCCCAGAATCCCGGAGGGGGAGACGCGGACATCCGTGGTTTTCAGGGCTCCCCCGGTGATTCCAGCGCTGAGTCCCTGCTCCTTTCACAGCGCGATCCCGGCCTCGAAACCAAAAATCAAAACCGAGCGGTGGTGCTCCCTCCCCTGCGCTCACCCGCACGGTGGGCCGAGCCGGGCTGGGGTCGCCCTCGCTCGCGGCTCAGGTGCGGCGCCCGCGGCCCAGGTGCGGCGCTGCGGCCGGAAGCGGCCCCCGCGGTCTGCTGCGCGCGGGGCGGTTGCGCCACGCGCTCCGCTTTCGTAACAGCGCCCCGGGCCGGCGGGGGACGCTCCAGCGCGAGTTCCTCCAGTGTCGTCCTGCGCTGCCGGGACGGTCGGCGACTCCGAGTCTTGCGCCAGTGGGAAGTCGCGCTGACACGGAGCCCGGGCCGAGGGAGCTGGGGCACTCCCCGTGCGCCGTACGCAGGCTCCCGGGAACAGGGATTGCCCTCGGGGCCTGAGCCCGCTCGCCGCCCGCCCCGCCCCGCCGCGCGGCCCTGGCCCGCCCGCCGCCCTGGGACCTCCGGGCCTCGGCCGTGGAGGAAGCATGCTGGCCCTGCGCTGTGCGCTGCTGACAGCCCTGCTGGCCGCGCCGGGGGCCGCCCTGGCCCCAGGGGGCTGTCCCGCGCCCGGTAAGAGCTTCGCGCGCACCTGGAGGGCGGGGGCGGCCGGCGGGAGGAAGGGGGGACGGCGCCCCTTTTCGGTGGCCGCAGAGGTCCCCGCGGGCGCCCGGCGCGGGCTCGGCGCCCACCGGCGGCTTGTGCGCCCCACCGCGTCCTGCGCCTTTGCCCGCAAGCGCCGCCTGACTGCCCGCTGACCCGGACCTGGCGTGTTCTCGGAAAGCCGCGTCCCGAGCCTCCTTCCCTGCGCCCCCACCAGTCCTTACAAAGGGCAGAGGTCCCAGCGGGGTCGGGGTCTCCCGCCCGGGCGTCCTGTGTACCAGCGCCTCTCGCGCCGTCAGCTTTGGGGCCCAGTGGCTCTGCACCCCCCCACCCCCAGCGCCGGGACCGCGAAGGGGCTGGTCCCGCTGCCCGCACTCGCTTCGGCAGACACCGGCGCGAGCAAGCCGTGTGCCCCCGCGCTGGGAATTTAACCGGAGCTGGGAGGCTGGCTCGGGAGGCGTCTTGGGGCCGGCGCATACTGGGCTCCTTCCAGAGGAGAGGAGGGGTGAGGCGGAGGGCAGTGGGCACTTCTGCCCCTGTTGACTGTAATTAGCCCTTGGCAGCCAGGCCCTTCTCCGGGCTCTGGCAGCATGCCCAGCTGTGTGTCCAGGCTCTCCTCTAGCCCAGGGTGGCCACTACTTCTCAAGAGGTTAATTTTAGGGTCCGAGGGCTTCTGTGAGGAGCAGCCTGAAGGTTTCTGGGAACAGTTGGCTCCTGTCCTGGGCAAACATCCTCAGCTTGATCTCTCTCTCTCTGATGGGAGAGAGGACTCTAGGGTTAGACTGGTGAGCTCTCTGCCTTCTGGATGGTGACACCCTTTGCTCTGGTCAGAGGGAAATAAAGGGGTTCTGAGCACACGGTGCCCCCTGCAGGGAGCAGTCACTGTTGATTGGAGGCTTAGGTACCTTCACCTGTACCCCGGTCCTCTGCTGGATCTAAAAATATACTTTGTTCCAGAGGAGACAGGTCCAGAAAGGTTGGGATGGGAGGTTGTCGGGGGCCTTGGTGGAGGCCCACCCTTCCATGGCTCCAGTGCTGTAGACCCTGAAGACTCCCAAATGTAGAACTAGCCCTGCAGGCAGAGCTAGGGGGTTTTGGGGGCAAGCTGAGAGCCATGCCTACTGGCTGAGGGCTGGGGCAGAAGGGGCCAGGGGAAGGGAATTGAGGTCTGGGCTGGTCCCACTGTGGTGCAGAGGCGTGCAAGGCAGGGATGAGGCTTCAGGCTCCTTCTCCCCCCTCCCCCCCCAGAGCCAGGCTCCGCTGGCTGCCTCTGTTGCTCCTCACGCCACACCCCAGGGCACCTGCCCCAGGGGGATTCCTGCTGTAGTGACTGTACCCTTTGGCTCCTAAGAGGTTGCAAGGCAGTGCAAGGGGCAACCTGCTGAAGTCAGTCTCTGTTTGCCTGGTGGTCTGCAGGGACGGGCGAGGTGGTCTCGAGGCCCGGACAGCCCAGGAAAGGCAGAACTGAGAGTTGGGGGAGGAAGTGAAAGCCCAGTTCAGAAGGAAAATGCAGAGAAGTAGAAAATACCCAGCTCTCCTCCCACACCCACACAGACTCAGCCCACAAGCTGGGGAGTAAAAATAAAGACATTGTCCAAGAAGCAGGCCGCAGATGACTGTGACTGTCCCGCATTGGAGGGGGCAGCAGAGGCTGATGCTGCGCGAGGGGAAGTCCACTGGTTCTCCAGGCCGGAGGCTCGCTTAGCCAGGAGGCGTGCTTTCCTTGCGGTTAGTAGCTGCCCGCATGCCCAAGAGCTGACAGCCTACTCAGGTGTGCTTGCTGTCTGGGGGCCCTGACCGGCGGGGACTCAGGTGTTGGGCGTGGAAGGCCTGGACACGGGTGACTCAGGTTCCTTCCGCCTTCTGCAGAGCGCGACGGGGCACAAACAAGCATGTACAGCTTTAAGTCTCTTCAAAGACCTGTCTCGACTTCTGAACTTCCCTTAGACGACTTCTTCCTGCCCCCAGTGCCTACCTGCGTTCCTTACCCGAAATCAATATTTCTCAGAAGGGCAGTTCTGGATCTAGTTGTATCAGAATTTGTGTCTGTGTTGGCTAATTTTTGGCCCCCACCCCAGATTTACTGAAGAGAGAGATCTGGCAGTGAGGCTCGGAAGTGTCCTTTTCTACACATGCTTGTGATTTGCTGGCCTGGGGATGCCTGGCTCACGTGTGTGCTTGAGAGGCTGACGGAAGGCCCTCCCCCCTCAGGCTTCTAGTTGCCAGAAATCTCTCTCCCTGCTTTGGCTCTGCCCTTGTTTATTCATTTCAGCAAACAGAGTCCGTGTAAAGCCCTATGGGGCCTCTGTGGGACCAGCCACCCAGACTCCACCCTAAAAGGAGCTTGAACATGGCCAAGAGTAAATCCCTGAGAGGGACTGAGAAAACCCAGCTGCCTGAGGCCTTGTGGTACCAACTACCCGAAGACAAATTGTCTGGAGATGGGGACGGTACAGAGGAACCAGACCCCAGGCGGCAGGCACATGACCTCGGCAGACTGGGTCAGCACACCCTCTGGGTGCTGGGTGTTTGTGAGGATTACACGGAGCAACCGGGTCCTCACTGCTGTAAATATGCACCCTCCTTCCCCTGTCCCACCCGGCCTGCGTGCCTCTGACCCAGTAGCCGCTTGCCAGGTGTGGCTATTCCATTTAAATTAGTTATAATGAAGTCAGATCACAAATATAAGTTCCTTGGTTGCTCCGTAGCGTGAGTAGTGGTAGTGTCCTGGACACAGATAGAGCATCTCCATCACTTTGGGAAGTTCTGCTGGACACTGGCCTGTTTCTTCCCCAGCTTTCCTGCTGCAGCTTCCTTTACCCCTCTCCAGACCTCGTCTTCTCCACGGGGGACAGCGTGGGGACAGCTCACCATCACGGGTGGTGCTCATGGCTTGGAGCCGGACAGATCTCTGCCCAACCCTGCCATGTAGAAATGATGTGAGCTTTTGTGAGTGAGTTTACCTCTTGGAGACTCACCATCCTCATCTGGAAAATATAAATAATTATATACTTAATCGGTGGTTGTAAAGATGAAAGGAGAGAAGTTTTAGAAAAGTCCCTCGTGCAGAGTGTGTGCTGAGGTTCGCGTAGCTAATAATTCCCGCATTTGAGCAAAGTATTTTGACTGTTCCAGATGCTATTCTTAGAACTGTAGATGCAAAAATGAGCAAAACAGACAAAAATCCATGGCTCCCTGGCGCTTCAGTTTATGGAGATGTGGGTTAAATACATCGAAACATGATGGTTACTAGCGCCAAGGGGGAAATGCAGCAGGGGAGGGAGCCTGGAACTGTGTGCATATGTAGGGGCATGTGGAACTGGCCTGAGGGGGGGCCTGGGATGTTCTCACGGAGAGGGTGACATTTGAACAAAGGCCTGAAGGAAATACGAAACTCTTTAGAGATTCCTTATACTCCCATTTTGGGCAGGGAAATTCCAGCCTCCTCTTTAGCAGTCTGATCCTGTCTGATACTGAGGGCCCGTTAGGTTCTGGAGCTGAGGGCTCCGTGCGGACACTCAAGTGCCCTTTAGACACCAGCTGGGCGGGGAAGCGCTAAATGTAATGTCATTAGCTGCCATCAAGGTAGGAGTCTTTAAAAGAGAATCCTTGAGGGCTGGAGTGGCAAAGGAAGGCTTTTAACCTTTGGTCTGGCGAGGCCCCAGTGGCTTCCTTTGGGTAATTAATCTGTGTGCTTTACTCTCTCCTCTGGGCTTGAGATCCGACGAGGTCTGCAGTCCTTGGCAGAGTCGGCCTTTTCCAGCGTGGTGCCGGGTCCTCAGCAGGCCCCCCGCTCCTACCGGCCCTCTGCCGGCTCTGTCTCGGGGCTCTCCCCCTAGCAGTGTGGCCCTGAGGCCCTGCATCCATCCCCTGTTCTCTGTGTCCCTCCACCTCCCAGCTGCCTTTCCTGAAAAGCATCCGTTGCTCTTCCCTCTCTACTTGGTCATTATGATAACCGCAGGCAGAGAAGAGCGCCACTTGTACTCAGCACGGAGCCGAATGTTTGAGGGCGTTAGACCCATTGTGCACATGGGACAGGCCACGGGACAGGCAGGTTTTGTTGGAGGGGAAGATGAGGAGGTCAGTTCCGGACATACTGGAATGGAGACATCATTGAGACAACCAGAGGGAAGACGCGGAGCAGCTGGACGCAGGAAGCCGGAGTTTGGGAATGAGGACTGGGCTTGAGGTGTGACTGTGGGAGTCGGCTAACGGCAGGTGTCATTTCAAGCCTTGCGGTGGCTGGCCTCACACAAGTGAGTGTAGCTGGGGGGCGGAAGAGAGGAGGCCCCAGCGCACCCTTCTCGGCCGGTCAGGGAGGAGGAAGAAGTGAGAGCGGTGGAGTCGGAGGGAGCTGGGAGAGCTGGTGTCTGACAGCCCGGGGAGGACAGCTTGTGTCCACGGCATCCCATGGGGTCCCGCTGGGTGGGGGCCAGGCAGGAGCAGGGCTGGGCCCTGACCAGTGCACTTAGCAACGGGCAGGCCTTGGTGACCTTCACAGGGGCAGTGTCAGTGAGATGGTGGAGGCTGGAGGCTGGCGGGAGTGGATTCACGAGAGGATGGGGGCAGGGAAACTGGGAACGGCAGGCACAGGCTGCTCTTTGAGGGTGTGAACTGTAAAGGGGGTAAAGAAATGGAGTGTGCCTTTGCTGGGAAAGTGGGGTCAAGAAAAGGGATCTCTAGAAAGGTGACTGAACTGTCAGCTTGCTTGCATGCTGATGGAAATGATGCAGCAGGTTGGCGGAGGTGAGAGCTGCTGAAACAACCCTTGAGTGGGCGAGAGGGGACTGAGGCTCAGAGAGGTTTACAACTTGCCCAAGATCACACAGCAAGGAGGTGACAGGCCCAGCTCTGAACCCCACTCTTTGCACTAAATCACGTGCTGCTGAGTGCACCCCCACCCCCAGCCCGCAAAGTACAGTGACGCCAAGGTCACCTTCACTCTTCACAGCATCCACAGCAGGGGCTCACCAATACCACGCCTTGGTGTGGCCCAGGCAGGGTCTGCTGCCTCATCTTAAGTACTGAACAATGCAGAAGGCCGTGTGCACACCTCCTTCTCCCCCCCTGTGCATCCACGGCCCTTTCCATGGGGCTGTTTGCAAGTGCCTGTCACTGTCAGGGAGCTTGCCCTGGGGGAGGCAGCTGGTTCTGCATGGGGTTGGACCCTCCAGGCCTGTGTCTTGCTGCCCCCCAGCGTGGGGCAGGTTACTTCAAGCCTAGGCAGGCAAGACTTCCAATACACAATTAATGGGGCTTGATGGATGTTGTTGATTGTGGGAGCCCACTGGCATGGGAGGAGAGGAGGCTATAGCCTGAGGACTTTCTTGCAGAAAAGTGGAGACACACTCGTGAGCGGTGGCGATGAGAATCGTTGAGCCGCCTGGGCGGCTCAGTCCATGAAGAGGCTGACTCTTAGTTTCGGCTCAGGTTGTGATCTCAGGGTGGAGGGATTGAGCCCCAAGTAGGGCTCCACACTCAGCGTGGAGTCTGCTTGGGATTCTCCCTCTCTCCCTCCCTTCCCCGCCCCCGCATGCTCTCTCTCTCTCCAGTTGCTCATATTTCATGAGAGATTAGGTACGTCTGAAAAATAAGGCTGGTTTTTTTTTTTTTAAAGATTTTATTTATTTGTTAGAGAGAGAGATTGAGAGAGAGAGCACATGAGGGGGGGAAGGTCAGAGGGAGAAGCAGACCCCATGCTGAGCAGGGAGCCCGATGCGGGACTCGATCCCGGGACTCCAGGATCATGACCTGAGCCGAAGGCAGTCGCTTAACCAACTGAGCCACCCAGGTGCCCCAATAAGGCTGGGGTTTTAACCTTAATTATCAAATATGATCCTCACAACAGTATCTTGAAGTGCGTAGTCTTATCATTTCCAATTTACGTATGGGAAAGTGGGATCTGGAGCCTGAGAAGCTAGCCCGAGGGCTCGTAGCTCCTAAGTGACGCCCTGCGGCTGGAACTTGGCTCTGAGCCCTGTGCTTGGCCTCTTGACCACTGCACACAGTGGACTAGGAAAGAATGCAGATAGAGCTTCCTCTTAATGTCTGGGTGTCTTGTTACGTGGATACGCAGAGTCCTTTGCCCATCTCCTTCGGGCAGGCACCTTCTTGTTTCTTGTCTTGCCATGACGGGCAGCGGTGGGGGGACAACCACACCCCACTCATGACACCGCGGTGCGAGAACACCTGCGGGATAAGCTCCCCAAAGGGGAGTCTGTGGGTCGAAAGCCGTGTACGGTTGTAATTTTGAGAGAGAATAGAAGCTGCGCCAATTCAGACCCCTAGCGGCAATGAGCGAATGCCTGGGTCCCTACACCTTTGTCCAAAGTGTGTTATTAAACTAGTGTCTACACAGAAAACGCTATCTGTGTAGAATTAATTTGCATTTACCTTATCTGAGTGAGATTGTATAGGTATTTCCATGTTTAAGAGACATTTGCATAATATATTTCTATGAACTGCATGTTCATAGTCATTGCCAACTTAAAAAATTTGGGTTGTTGGTCTTTTTCTTATTGCTTACATATGTTAAGGAATTTAGGCCTTTATGGTGTGATTTATGAATATTTTTCTCTTGTTTGTCGTTTGTCTTTTGACTTTTTTGGGGAAGATGGCGTTTGCTGTGCAGATTTTTTAAAAAATGTAGTTGGACTTGGGGCGCCTGGGTGGCTCGGTTGGTTGAGCGACTGCCTTCGGCTCAGGTCATGATCCTGGAGTTCTGGGAT